GAAACTTATTTTCTTCAATTTGTTTAGCTTTTTAACCTTTCAACCCTCTTGGTACTTGTTATCCATGATCTTAGAGATTTTTAATCTCTAATGTAACATAATTAACTTACTTTATGTACTCTCAAAGAGGATCTCATTTTTGAGCTTACATCAATTGACTTACGAATACTCTTTTGTACGATGATATTGGGTGTAACAATAAGAATTCCCCTTGAGAATTCCATCCATTAGCAACCCTATGTATTTCCCCTTAATGAATTTTGGGGGTGATTTTATCATAGGGAGTGGGCCCCTGCTTAAGGTAATTACTTAGCCAAAGAGTTCCCAAATTTTGCCACCCAGCCTCATACTTACTTAGTCAACATTAGGCTTGATTAGGACTCCATACTTGCTGCCACGTTGGGGGAGGGGGCTCCTTAATCTTATCCAAATATCTTAATTAATTAGTTAATCTCCCACTAAAATCAATAATTATCCAATTATCCACATAATTGAGAATTATCTCAAATTACTTAAAATACTACCCACTTTTAACACACTTTATATACCTTATTATCATGGGCATGTGGTACCTTGTATAGCACAAGTTAATACACACCGAGTATTATAGCTTGGACCGTATTTTAACTCAAAATGTCAAATTTCGACGAAACTCATTTTCTTCGATTCGCTTACCCTCTCACCTTCACGAATTTACTTATCACTTGTTTGAAATAGCATAATACTTATAACCTCCAAATAATCTCATTCCCGAGATTACGCCGATTAGCTTACGATGAAACTTTAACGTACGAAAATGCCGGATGTAACATCTCATTTCAGAGCTTTCATTGATTTACTTATGGCGTACTTTCACGTACGACAATATGGGGTATAACATCATTCCCTTTTTTGGAACATTCTTCCTCGAATGTTAACTGATACACTTATCATTATCATAACCTATAGCTCTTGCGAATACTTTAGTACTTTCCTTGCCATCTAGGCAACTGTTCTATGAATAAATCCAAAGGCCAGAGCATTCCCTCCTTTAGGCCCCTTTCTCACACCACGACTTGTGGTCAGAATTCTTCCAATCTCGTAACTATTGCTACCTTCTATCATGCAGTCTGTACGACTTTGTCTTTGTATGTGCGCCTATGCAACTCTTCTCTCATTTTTCATCCAACTTTTAGCTAATCTCTAGGCCTCATTATGTAAACATATATACAGAGCTTGATAAGATATCCTTCTAGGAATCTATAGGTATACTAAGTTCTTCGCTCAATGCTTTGTTGAACTTACGAATATTGTTATATCTTACTTCATAGACCCGATTATCCATCCGTATGACTTTACTGCATCTAGGTAGGTCATACTATACTATAACTCTTACTTCGATTTATCGTTACTGAGGTCTGCTACTAAACTCCAGGTTAATATCGTTGCTTATCCTATATATATAAATCTAAGTCTTTTAATGCTTCTTCATTACTATTCATCTTTAGAATGATGGCCTAATCTCATCTCATACTTTGTAACTTTTATCCATCCATTGTTGATTCACTTTAATGTTGATCTATAATCTACCACCGATAACTTGACCTCTTATGTAACGTTGGCGCTAGGACACATGTCTCATCGGAGAATATCTGGAGTAATTAAACTAATCCACCTAGGGGCGATACTATACTTCCATAATCGTGTTTTATAGCATCCCAATGTGATTCACCTTACGTTTAATCCCGTACAGTTCATGAAATTCTTTTTTTTCTTCAAATCATTACTCAATCGAAGGCCCTGACTTCATACTTAAATCATAATTTTCCTCAGGTGCTCATAGTGTTTTGCTCTTGAGAGTAACAATTGACTTTGTTTGTTTTGTAAATAAAGCTGACAAAGCTAAAGGTGCTTGTTTGTTTTTAAATTACTTTAAAGGAAACGGATTTTGTTCTCGTACCTTTTGGCTCGAAGAGATTAACTAAATATTTTATCTCTTAGTCAGACCGTTGATTAAACGGAAAAGGGCTAAATATACCCCTCTACTTTCAAATATTGTTTACATATACCTTTCGTTATACTATTGGGCTATCCATAACCCTACCGTCATACTTTGGAACAAAAATACCCCTATTTTGGATGGAGTGCCACGTAGCAACACCAGATTAAAATGACCCATTTCTTTTTTTTACCCGATCGTTTTTAAAAAAAACCACAACCCAACCCCTATTTTCATTTTTTCCAGTTTTTTTTTAAATTTCAGTTTTTAAAAACTGAAAATATTTTGTTAAAAAACAAAAAAAAATCTGTTTTTACAAATTTGTTTTTCCAGTTTTTATAAAACAAAATTCTTTTAAAAAACTAAAAAAAAAAAATCAAAAAAGAAGATATTTTGTTGAAAATAATGTTTTCAGTTTTTAAAAAACGAAAATATTTTGTTAAAAAACAAAAATATTTTTTTTCTGTTTTATCTCTTTTTATCCCCATATTTATACATATTAATTTTGCTATATTACCCCCCCCCCACCCACCACTCTCTTCCTTCTTTTTTGTTTCATATGTTAAATAAAATTTCATATACCTTATTAAAAAATCCTTTATTTATAGAACCCAAAGAAGCTAAAACGCTTTACAAAAAAAAAATCAGTTTATAACAAAATATTTTTTTTTTAAAAAACTGAAAACATTATTTTCAACAAAATATTTTCTTTTTTGAAAAATATTTATTTTTAGTTTTTCAGTTTTTTAAAAGAATTTTATTTTGTAAAAACTGGAAAAACAAATTTGTAAAAATACAATTTCTTTTGTTTTGTTTTTTAACAAAATATTTTCATTTTTAAAAAAATGAAATTTAAAAAGAAAACTGGAAAAAAATGAAAATAGGGGCCGATTGTGGGTTCTTTTAAAAACTGATCGGGTAAAAAAAAGAAATGGGTCGTTTTAATCTGGTGTTGCCATGTGGCACTCCATCCAAATAGGGGTATTTTTGTTTCAAAGTATGACAATAGGGGTATTTTTGTTCCAAAGTATGACGGTAGGGGCATGAATAGCCCAATAGTATAACGAAGGGTACAGGGAAACAATATTTGAAAGTAGAGGGGTATATTTAGCCCTTTGCCGTTGATTAAATCTACCACCACAGTCGAGAAGTACTAAATTTTGAAAACTCCAACAAAATTAAGAGCCCGTTTGGCTTAGCTGATTTAGAGTAGTTGATAAGTATTAGGTGCTGAAAAGCATTTTTAAGTGTTGAAGCTGATTTAAAAAATAAGCAGTTACGTGTTTGGATAAAAGTGCTGAAATTAATAATAAGCAGCTGAAGAACTGGGTGTACGAAGAGTTTTGTTTTAAAAAGAAGTATTTTAGGGATAGAATAGTAAATATTTTGGTCAAACCTAAAGTGCTTATAAGCTGAAATTTGATAAGTTGGAGGAGACCAAATTATGACTTTTTGCTTATTTTTGGCTTATAAGCACTTAACTTATAAGCATTTTTAATTTTACCAAATGCATAAATAAGCCAAAAAGTGTTTATAAGCCAGTTTGACCGGCTTGTAACCTTAGCCAAACACCCTCTAAGCATATTAGTTTTTCACTTTTTTCTGAACGCCTGAACAGCTCGAAAGGCATTTCAAGTTTTACTGTGTACTTAAGCCCCAATAATCTTATATATTTATCCTCTTATCTAGTCCCGTGTACAATCTTATATGGCAATAATTGGAAATAATTCGACAATAATTGGAAATAATTCGACTTTTACTCGTTGCTTTTTAGGACATTACGCCTATTCTTTTCTTTTTCTTGAAAGTATTATTCACAAGTTGAAATTAGGCGTTCCGCCTTCAAGGAAATCACTTAAAACTGCTCTTTTCGTCCCAATTAGGTACTCTAGTCTGTCTAGATATTATTGATTAATTTAGTTCCTTTCGTTTAAATGAAAATAGGTTAAACAGTACAGATAAAGTTATCTACGTGAAGAATTTAAACCTTTTTTTTTTGTGTAAAACGAAGTAGATCTCTTAAATCACACTAGCACTGTGAAATTATTATAGCAAACAATTATGAGTTGCTTAATACTCCATCCGTCCCATTTTATGTGGTATAGTTTGACTAGCCACAAAATATTTTACAAAAAATTACGTTAAAAACTTGTGATTTAAAACATGACAAAGAAATTTGTGTGGCTATAAATAATCTCATTACAGGTAAAATAAAAAATTTAAAGCTAAGTATAGAAATATAACAGGACAAATTTTGGCACAATACAATATTCTAAAAAGCAAAAAGGACAGATAATTAGGAGAAGAAATTAGTATACATATGCATCATGCATGCCGCATTGTCTTAGTTTGTAGTAAATCTATAGTAATTGGCAAGCCTGTTAGAAATAGAACAGATCAAATCAGAAAGAAAAAAACACTTAGGATTTGCTCTGTGACGCAGGTTACAGAAATCATACTGAAGATTTGTCCGAATAAGCTATTCTTGACACCAGAAAATTGATGGAGAAATTAAAACAGTCCAGATGGATGATCTAGAGTCTAGACCAAACATGAAACTTAACCAAGTATAAAAAAATCTGCAGCACTAACTTGTCCCTAGTACTAGTTTCCAACAAGCATCCCCTTTTTGTTACGACCCACCACGAGGTCGCTCCCCTAGGCTACTGTGTATGTCGCCTTTTGCTCCTTGTAACGTTCAACCTTCGTATTATATCCTCCCTCCGTTTCAATTTATGTGAACTTATTTCCTTTTTGGTCCGTGTCAAAAAGAATGACCCCTTTCCTTATTTGGAAACAATTTACCTTTATACAATGATTTATAGCCACACAAAATATATGTGCCTCATTTTACACCACAAGTTCAAAAGTCTTCTCTCTTTTCTTAAACTCCGTGCACAGTCAAATGGGTTCACATAAATTGAAACGGAGGGAGTATTAAGTATCTTTTAAACCAAAAAAAAAAAAGACAAGCGGTGCAGACTAAGCACAGAATTAAAAATCTGGAGGGAACACTGTGTAATGCAAGAAAAACATTGCGGAATCACCATAAAATGAACAATGTTAAATCCTCTCGCCACAACGATGCACTAGTGATGAAACGTATATCCAGATTACGATCCAAACAAAGTGAGCAAAGTTAGATAATGGGTATTCAGCTATCTATGTACCCTACTACAATCTATACGGTGTCCATGATTTCTCCATCTAGGACAAAACGCACTTTTGTTGTTGGAGATGGCTCAAGTTGAACATGGCATAACAGAGAACCATAGGACTAAAAAGTTAAAAGATATTACTTAATGTGCATTGCATCAGAATGATACTTGTCCAAATCAGCATCAAGATCTTCGGCTGAGACAGGTTTATGATGGCTTCTATCGATAAAACCACCTCGTCCAATCATGTGGCCGCCTCTCCTACCATTACGAGCCCTTCCATCTGCTGCAACTCCTGGTCTGCTGCCAAAACAGTTCTTTGAAAGCGTCATTACATGTAGGCAAGGGCTCATTAGTAAGGAAATTACAACTCAATCATTAGCTCCAAAATGATCTTATTACTATCACTCTACTCTAGAGTTATTACTTGCTTGTAACAATACCATAAACAATTTGAATCCTTCCCTCAACAATAAAGCCAGAAGGAGCAGATCTTTTACCTCTGGAAAGTTCCTCGCGGATTTTCTGGTGCAAAATCAGGCAATATTGAAGGCACTGGATGAGTCACAAACTTCACCTCAATTTTCATTGGTCTCCCGTCAAGCTGCAGGTTGTTGTATCTCTTCATAGCAGCTAAAGCATCAGAGCGATGTGTGAAAACCACCTCTGCAGTTCCCTATACAAGAATTTCCTCAACATGAATATATTGCACTACATTTCTCAGGAAAATGTCAAAGGAAGGTGGCTTGTCAAAGTACCTTTGATCTGCCAGTCTTATCATAATGCAGCGCGTACTCTTTAAGTTCACCGACATCTGAAAACAGCAGCTGAACAATCCAGATAGAGGACTTCTCATCAGAATAGTTGCTTCAAGAAAGTATTGCAACTACAATTTGAGATCAAAAGCTCCGAATTTAAAGCACAGAGTACCATCATTCTTAATAGCAACGAGAATTAAGGAGTCTACTAGTAAGAAATTAGGTGCTACGACATCCATACAGAGTCAATTCTCGGTTCATTCATAAACATGGAAAGAGTAATGTAGAAAATAGCAGAAAAGTTACTTCATCTTATATACTACAATAGTAAGGGGGGGAGTTAAGAGTATAAACCTAAGTTGCTCCATTCATGAGTGGAAAATGCAGTAATGTAGAAGACAAGGGTGCTAACCAGGCAGTAAAGTGCCAAGAACACGTTAAGTTTGACCAATATCCATGCCTTAAAAGTAAAATCATATTATCATTCAATGTGTTTGATCTCGTGGGGTCCAAAAATAATCTCCTATAGTAAAAGTAATAAAATCTGAAATTCTCAACTTTACATTTCAAAAGGAATTACTCCCTAATACAAATTCTATGTTAGACCTATGCATATATAAGATAACTAAATGCAAAGTAAAAATAAAAAAAATAAAAAAATAAAAAAAGAGAGAGAAAAAGCAATTTTAAGTTTCCGAAGACAATCCTATCGTGCCTCATAAAATTAATGCAAATCCACCTTAATTTCTTTTCATATGAGAAATAGAAGAAACTCTACAGTCCAACTGAGCTAAGGTGGGTTTGTTGAGAAATAGAAGAAAAGATGGTTTATACCCTGATGTCATCGTTGGAGACACCGTAATCGAGATTAGATACAAATAGCTTAGTCCCATAATCCCACTCTGACGCTCCAACCATCATCTTGTCTGGCTCTGGAAAACGCTACAATATTTTTCAAGAATATTAGTTTTACAGGCGAGAAAGAAAGGAATAGGAACAGCCTGGTACCTGCGGCATTGAGTAGGGCGTCATTCTGCAACGGCGGCTTGGTCCGCCCCTACAAGTCCCAGAACCATAAACCCGCACACTGCGGCGCTTTTGATCGATGTGACCTCTGGAACGTCGTCCACCATTGTCCTTTTGTTTGTTTTTCTTGATGATATCATCCAGCGACATGTCCACAGATTCAGCCATTGAAGCACACCGGAGGAGTGAAGGGTTTTCAGAATGGTAAAATAATGCGATTGAGGACAATGGGCCTTATAGGGAAGGGACGAGTAGTACAGCAGAGAGTTGAGAGGGCGCATGAATAACAGCTGGCTGCTCAGTAAAAAGCAACCACCCTCGATTTTACTGTGTTGGCAACTTGCCCAGTCTCAATTCTTGAAATTATCCACAGGTTATAATTAGTGACGGATTTATATCTGATTTAAAATTATTTTTTGTTTTTCTTTTCTTCGAACACACGAGCATAATCTTAGCGACTCCAAATGGAGGACCGATTGCAAAAGAAAGTTCTTAGTCAAAAAGAAGGTTAAAGTGGTCTAACGAGACTCAAGTAATTATTTCGGTATAAGGTATACCGAAATATAAGATGCCAGTAGACACTGCAAGTAACTTATTCTAGTAGTAGTATATGAACAATTGCATGCCCACTACCTAGCGAGAATATTTTTTTAGCAAATTAACTAGGCAAGGTGCTTAGAGCTAGTTTTATATATATTTAAATAAAAAAGAACAAAATGGCATATGAGATCTTACAAGATGAAAAAAATAAACTTTGACAGTCACATAGCTCCTATTATCAAAGTTGAGTATAGTACTCAACAGTAATAGTACCAATTGTAATCTAAAAAGGAAATAAACTAGCCATGCTATACCATCCCAATTGAATCGCATGTTCGAATTTCGTTCATACTCCTTATTCAGAACTGGATACAAGAATGAATCCAGTTGTGTAGCCATTAGTTTTCCTTCCAAAACTCTAGTTGTATATTCCTTGTGTATGGAGCTCATGTGATCATCCCCAAATTGTATAGTGTTTAGTAGCGTACCATTCACTGTCTTGCCATATCCTTGATGCGTTTCTTCTCCTCCTTGCAAAATGTTGCATTTTACAGCCCAAACACACCCTATAATTCATGCCTATTGATGTCTAGAGACTAGAATATAGTAGACTAATTATAAGGATTAGTAAAATCACACGCATAACTCATTGCTTCAAGTGTCCAGCAATTGTACACGAGAATGGGCATGCACTGATTGGTGAGAAATTTGTATGGACTCCAGCAGTGATTGCCGCGCCCCCTTTTTCCCTTTTTGACGGGAAGTTCGGGTTTCGACATTCATGGGGGTAATAACTCTTTTCCTCTTGGGAATTGGGTATTGGAACAGTCGCCACCTAACGGATTACGGTGCTTTAGGACACCTAAAGTGATTAACTCTTGGATTGGTTTGCATTACCAGAGATTAAAGTAAGGGCTCGAAGTAACCTCGAGGGGAAGGTGTTAGGCACCCCTCTTTTGGTCCACAATTGTGTGTCCCGATCGAACTTATATTCACAAATTAGTCCATTACAGGTAAACAGTTGAATCAAATAGGTTGCAAGCAAAGCACGTTAGATAACTCAAGTAATAAGATAAAATTTTGGACAAGTTGTAAAATAAAAAGGTTTAAATAAAAAGGGAATCTTGGTAAAGGAGGAGTCCTAGGTTGGTTATCATATAGGATCACCCCACACAATGTCCGATAAACACTACTCAATGAGGGGCTACACTTGACATTAGCGCGTAGTCATCATATCTCGTATCTACCCTTCCCATCCCCTTATTGGTCATGCAAAGCGAGTGTTTGGTCAACAATTTCTATTGCGTGCTGCTACCCGTCCCTTCTTAATGGTCCTGGAGGGAGTTAGGACCTCTACCTTATAGTTGGTTCTAGACGGACCCCTAAGGTTTAAAAGGTGAAAATTCTAAGGCGACAATCAAAACACTTAGGACTTTCAGCACATAAATGGAGCAATTAGAGGCTCAAAGTTTCCTCCTCAAACAAGCACATAAATAGCACGACTCAAGCATAATTAAGGGCTTTTATTAAATAGTGTCCTAAGGCAGGATATCTAGGTGAATATGCAGAAACGAACAACTTATTTTTTAGAAACTCAGGAGTAGTGACCCTAGCAATCGTCTATTGATTTTTTAAAGCCTGTTAGGATCAGAAAACATTAAGCAATAGTAACAGTTTTCAGAAATGCAGTTTTGAAAACACCCTAAAGGCTTGCTTATACACGGAGTACTGATTAGCAAATTTGTATAGGGAAACAAAGCAGGTTTTGAAACGGATTTTCTGTAATACCTATAGGCATGATATCTAATGAGAGGTTAAGAGAGTTTTAAAGAACTCATTTCAGGAAATATGAAATACTTAATTAAACCAATTCAGAAATGAACTAAGCGTGGACTAAGTCAAATCATTAGACTAAATTAGATTGATATGAAGAATTTCGAATATGGTTCTCTATAGGCATGATATCTAAGCGTAATACTGATTTTAATGGTTTGCAGGTATGGAAATATGCATAACTGAATCTGGGTGAAGTCCTATAGGCATGACATCTATTAGTTATTCTGATTTTAAGACAATGAAAACATACATGATTATTTGGACCTCTAGGCATGGTTTCTAAAAATGTAAAGCAATATAAGCATGATTTCTACTTGATAAAGCAATCAGATTTAAACATGAAGTCCTAAGAGCATGATTTCTACTGGAAAACAATTAGATTTAAACATAAGGCCCTAGGAGCATGATTTCTACTTGATAAACCAATCAGATTTAAACATGAAGTCCTAGGAGCATGATTTCTACTGGAAAACAATCAGATTTAAACATAAGGCCCTAGGAGCATGATTTCTACTGGAAAACAATCAGATTTAAACATAAGGCCCTAGGAGCATGATTTCTACCCATATTACCCCCACAAACATGCATCTACCCATCCCTTTCACTAAATACCCCAATATTTGTTTACAAGTTATTACAGACCATTGAATGAATTACATAAATAAATAAGAAAACAAAAAGCTATTCTATAGGGAGCCTTAGAATAGGCCCAGATGTCCAAAGCCTCCAATGGCCTCAAATGCCTCAATTCCATAGACAATGTCAGAGTCTAGGTGCATCAAAGTTCCCTAAGGATCTCAAGGATCCCGGGCAGTGCTTACACCTAGACTTAGTATCCAAAGATTGAACAAGTGCAGTATGGAAGGGCCAGCCTCAGTATGTCAGAGTTCAGAGGGTTCTCAAGAGGATCCCAAGGCAGTACACATACTAGAGGGGGCAGAACTTATTGACTAAGAGTAGAGTGAAAAGTGATGGACACAAGTTGAAAGGTTTTAGTAAAAACTGTATTAAAACAAAAGTCTATTTGAAAATAACTTAGTAAAGCAATAGAGACTGTTTGAAAAGAGATTGAAGAGATGAATAGAAATCCAAACACTTTAGGACAGGTTTGTACATAGCCAATTCACAGATCCAAATAAATTCAGTAGTCACACACAGGGGTCAAGGGGTTTGGGATACATAGAACACTTGACTGCAAACACATAACCTAGCAAAGGTCTAAGACTGGTTTAGACATGCTCAGAAATAGCTGACCCTGGCATAGTCACAAAACCAGACATGAAGAACACAACCACATAGAGGGGTGATAGGGATTTGGGGATTCATGGAGCATATGATGGTAAGTACACAATAAGTAAGAGATAACTGGTAAGATATGCTCAGAAACATACATAAGGGAAAATATACCGATCTCAAGGAAAGGGAAGACATAATAACATGCTAATAATGTAACCATCAACTACAAATTTCACAACAAAACAACAAAAAGAAGCAAACTAGAAATAAAATGAACTGAAACAATAAGAAAATTATATTGTTGTTGGAACTTTGAATTGAAACTAGAATATACCAGTAAAAAGGATAGTAAACAGGATGAAAGAACAAGAGAACTCAATGGTTAGCCTTGGCTTGCAGCCGACTAACTTAAAGTAGTAGCAAGTAGTACAAAAGAGAGGCAGAAAGTTTGAGTGTTAGAGATAGTTTTTTTTTAACCAAGAGTTTGTGTCTTGTGCTAATGAAAGACTAAGGTATATATAGTTTGAAAGCAGGTAGTAAATAAGGTAAAAATCAGAGTCCATTAGTAATTATAGAACCCAGAATCAGTCAGTTAGAAAATCAAGTTAAGTACTCCCTTTAATTGAGGAGTTAACTTCAAACGGTCATAGACACATGACAAGTAAGGAAAGAAATCATATAAGGTTGAACATAACAAATAAGGAAATACTTTCTGCATAGTACAAGTACACAATAGGTAATAGAGGCTAGGTTCAGCACATTTCAATCAAGGAAAGTCTAAAGAAATCAACTAATAGCATGATTGACCATAGAATAAGGTCAGAAAGCATTCTGCAAGGTAAAAATCACTAGAGATAACACGCGGAATCAGTGAAAGATCAATCACAAAGATTCAAGGATGCAAGAATAGGAGGTAGTATTGATTTAGCACCACTCTATAAGAACAAGCATATGGTAAGCAAAATCAGAACCCTAAGAGGTCGAGTAGGATAAGAATCACATATAGAATAGGGATTTATGTTAGAGCATAGTCTGAATTAGTAAGCTAAGCATGATACAGGTAGGAGAAGTGAAGAATCAGAAACATTGATGAACCAAATAAGGCAGAATCACACAATAGGCAGGGATAACCACAATTAAGAACCATAACAAGCAAACATAGGGAAAAAATCACAGAATCATAGAAACATACGGATTTACTGAACACGTTATCAAACAGAACCCAGAAATCCAAGATTGGAACTAACAAATTAGGGTTTTCAACATAGGCGAGTTGAAAAGGGAGTAAAAACATAAAATCAGTCAAGACATGCAAAGGATAGAAGTTAAAACATGAAGAATTGATTTAAACAAAGTGTAGAAAAAGTTCCGAAAACCCTAACTTTAAAAGAAAGTAAAACAACTTGAAATCGATGATTTTTGCAAAAGCGGTTCAAGAACTGGGTAAAACATAAAGAAACAGACTCGAATCATTTAAAAATAGTACAGATCTAAGAGATGCAAAAAAAAATTAGGGTTTCAGAAGAAACCCAAATAGAAGTGGAAGAACCTGCTTAGAACTTCAAAGATCGTAACAAATAAGGTATAATTTTGCTCGAAATCACACCGGAGTAGCCATGAATAGCTGAAACAGAAAACTCTAGATACAAGTTGGTGTGTCCCAGGGCCTTTGAAGGCCTCAGAGAAGATGAGCAAGGCAACGGAGGAGCCACTGGAGGCTTGAGGTTGAA